AAGTATTAAACCCAAAATATTCCAGGAAAGTCTTTAGAAACTAAAGGGTACAAAGATTTATTATTTATTTTTTTTCCTGATGTGTTTTTTTTCTTTTCCTTTTATTTGTTTAGTTGTTTGGCTTTTTTGTTTTGATTTGGGTTTTGGCAGGTTTTCTTGTTGTTTGGGGGTTTTTTTGGTTGTTTGAGGGTTCTCGTTTGGTCTGGTTATTTTGGCTTGGGTTTTTTTGTTTGGTTGTGTTGTTGTTTTTTTTAAATCAAGACAGCAGAGAGAGTAGCTTGGGTAAATCAGGGTGCCTGGAAAGTCTGTTGCAGGTGACTCTGCTAAGCCAGTACATTTGAGACACCAGTATAATGTGCTGTGTAAAAAGCTGTTTATATCCTGGACTTAAATGTAAGTAAGAGAGGCTTACTTGGAATTATTTCAGTGTGAGAAAGGAAGGAAGTTCAGTGGGAGAAGGGACAGAATGGATAAAAATAAAGTTCAATCAGAGGGATGGGCCAACAGAACAGGGTGAAGCAGGAATCCAGGCTCAGAGAAGGATTCAGAGGACTGTCATCTACTGGTAGAGAAAACAAGGATAGGAAACAAGGCTTGTTAAGTTTGTAAAGTAAAGGGGAAAAAAAGAGAACATATAAAAGACCTTTTATTTTTTTAAACTTTGCATTGTAGAACCACAACTGAACATGAGAAACAAGGAAAAGGATCTTATGCGAATATAGAACTGGGGGGAGGGTATGAGAAAAGGGTGGGAGTAAGCAGGGCTAACAGGGAATGGGAGATCTAAAGAGAGCAAGAGATTGGGGAAATTTCAAGCCCTGAATTGCAAGGAAGACAAAACAAGTGCACAACCACATGAAGGTAGCAAAGAAAAAGGGAGGGAAATGGAGGAGGGCAGCACAGTCTTCTTGGGAATCAGAGATGCTGTTAAGAGTTCTCTTTAAGGCAGATCAGGGATCATGTTCTTTTTATGCAACGTGCACAAATCTGCATGAACAAAAATTCAGTCTACCTCAAGTTTCCACTGTCTTCAAACGCAAAAAATATCAACAGCTGCTTTTTGTCCCTTGATTGAAGTATATATTTCAGATTATGCTGTAAAGTTGTGTCTACTTTGCCTGAAGAGCAAAACCTTGAAATATAACAACCTGCTGCTACACCAAGTCATGCTTTCAGTGGAAGCTTTAGCTATAGGCCAGAAAACTCCTAGGAAAATTAAAATAAAAGCAGGCAGTCACTAGCTCATACCTACAAGATAGTACATTCTATAAATATAATTATATAAACATAACTATAATGTTTCTGTATCTTGCTTTCCTTCACACTCTAGCCTGTTCCTTAATAAATTCCAATAGACCTGAGCCAAATGGACCAGCAATTTTTTGTAAATTTCCATGTGAATCACAACCTCAGTGTCTCCTCCACAGGGAACTTCCTTCTTCTTTACTGTTCAGCAAGGACTAGCTGTGTTTAGTCACCCATGCTATGAGAATGTGCCCATCTGTTCCCCTCCCCAAACTGTATTTCTTGTTTTTACTATTTCTTCTTCACTACCCTGCACTTGTCAGGCTTTGTAGTTTTCTTAAGGTTACTATAACAAGAAAATACACACAAAATTCCCACTTCTCCCATAACTTGAGTATCAGAAGACCAGCTGCTTTCCCTCACCTCTAATATAAGATGACATGAACAAACATCGTTTGCTAGGTCTTACTTATCCCTCATCTGGGAGACCTTTCACACACTTCTGGCAACATTGCAATAAATACCCATACAGCGAAGTATTCAGAGGCATAGCAATTGGATAATTTCACTTAGATAATTTTTAACTGAAACTTTATTTTCACTATTTTGGTATTTTTAAGCCCTATGAGGCCTAATACGGAATGATTAGGGGATACACACATACACAGTTATAAACTTTATGCATAAAATATTTACTCCTTCTCATAAAATTAAGTGAAATAAAAGAAAAAATATTTTGGTATTTTTAAGCCCTATGAGGCCTAATACGGAATGATTAGGGGATACACACATACACAGTTATAAACTTTATGCATAAAATATTTTACCCTTTCTATAAAATTAAGTGAAATAAAAGAAAAAACATATTAAAAACCTAGCTCATTGCTTTTAGTTGTCTTTTAGAACTCAACTTTGTAAATCAAAACTGTCGATCACCAGAGTTTCATTCAGCTACCCAAATATATTTTGCCCTCCCACATTATTAAAGTAACAAGCACCTAAAAGTTCTATATCTTTGCATCCATGTTCAGTGCAAAGTATTTTTCCAATGGTACAGCACATTCACTTCATACTATCAATGGACAGCACCTCTCTCTGGGATGAATTGCAACAACTGTCTCTAGTGCCATATAAACAGCAGCACAGGGCAGGAAATGAGGAGCACACCAGAACCAGCTGTAACTGCTGGAGACATTTTTAGGTTGATGGTGTCATTATCCAAGCTGGAATTTTGCCAGGAAATCAACTAGCAACACTCTGGCAAAACACAGTCTCAGTTGATTAACCCAGCTCTTTATGTCATTGAGCTAAACATATCATTTCACATTGCACCAAGGCTGGTCTAGTTTCCATGGCTCATGTGTGCCAATAGTGGTGTTTGGTGTCTCCTGTTCTCCTAATTATGGACTCATGTTGTACAGACCCAAAAAAGCTGCTCCACTTTTCTGACAGACTTTTTTCTAGCCTGCAGTGTTGACAAAAGAAGAATGCCTCTATCATTCTGTGTAATACTAAGATTTATTTTTTTCTTCTTCTCTGTTTCCTGCATAGTTTTTCCTTTTTAAATACAGATTAAAAAAAAACAAAACAAAAAACAACCAAAAATAAAAGGCTTTTATCAATTAAAAAGTCAGAAATTTAATCGAGAAGAAATACTGAACTCTTGTGAGACCCAACAGAGAGTAATGTGTCCAGTTCTGGGGCCCTGAGCATAAGGAGGTCATGAAGCTCCTAGAGGGAGTCCAAAGGAGGCCACAGAGATGATCCGAGGGCTGGAGCAGCTCTGCCCTGGAAACAAGCTGAGAGAGTTGGAGTTCAGCCTGGAGAAAAGAAGGCTCCAGGGACACCTTAGAGCACCTTACAGTGCCTGAAGGGGCTTCAGGAAAGATGAGGAGGGACTTGGGACAAGGGCAGGGAGAGAGAAGACAAGGGGTA